TGGGAGGGGTGCCGGGGGGCGGTGGCCCTGCATCTAGGGGCTGTCTCACGGTGCCACAGCCACAGGAGAGTGTGAGGGAGCCCCTGGGTATGGATTCCCCTGCTCAGGACAGCTCTCTGCCACAGGGAAGCGGGGAGAGGGCGCCAGGAGAAGAGCACGCTTGGACGGAAGGCTGGGGTAGAGAGGAGTGAAAGGTCTTACAGTGGTGGTGGGAGACGCGGGGCGGGGGGAAGGCAGCCTCCCAGCAGGAAGGGCTTTGACAGGGAGATGGTCCCACAGCCCAGGGGACACGTGCAGCCCCTGCATCCCACGGGACAGGAGCCACAGCTCTGACAGCGTCGCAGTGCCAAGCAGCCCGCGGGCAGCCCAGCTCCAGCCCTCCCCTTGCTCCTCTCACTGTGCTCTTCCCCAGGCCACCTCGCCGGTGGCCCCCAGCCCTGGCCACAGCAGAGCAGGGCAGCGTGTCCCCTCCTGCCATGTGCCCACCAGCCTCAGGAGCGTGGGGAGCCAGGAGCAGCCGTGTGGCCGTGCTCCGGGTGGCTCGTTCCCCTGCCGTTTCTTCTGGAAAGCCTGTGCTGGAGACAGCAGCGGGGGCTCCGTCACCCCCCACCAGTGGAGTCCTACCACTCCTACACTTGGCACTTTAACCCCTCGAAAGCCATTCCTTCTGATAACAATAATACTGCAATGAGCTCCGTAAGAACACGGTCCCTCTCCCCTCCCTCCCTCCAGAAACCCTCCCCGCTCCTGCGCTATCCAAAGCATTTACTGCCTCTGCCGTAGCATCCGCTGTACTAGGTAGTAGGGATAGGCCGTAGCGCTCAGTGACGTGTGCCCCTCTGTAAATAACCTTGGAGTGACGTGAACCGTTTGAAGCAAGACAACAAAAAACCCTACAAAACCGGAATAAACAGACTCTAGGGACTCGGCCAGTACCCCTCCTGTAACGGTCACTGTATATTTTTTTGATGTACTATAACTGTTGGGGAAAAAAAAAAAAAGGAAAATATTTTGATAACCGAATCTCATCGCTTTATTGTGTTACTCCGTAAATAAAAGGAACAAGTATAAACAAGCCAGGGCTTTCTCGTCGTTATTTTCTTTCCTAGATCCAGCTGAAGGGAACGTGTTGCTGGGCAGGACCGGGACACCTTCTCCTTGTCTTGTGGTGGCTCCGAGAGGAGAGTCAGCCCTGTGACAGATGGGCAGCGAGAGCTGCCGCAGCCCTAAGCGCCGGGGTGTGCGGGCTGAGCACCGTCCCAGCTGCTCCGAGGTGACGGGCCAAGGCTGCGCTCGGGAAGAGGAGGGTGCGGTGGATATGGCACCCTGCCCTCAGTCACAGCTTCTCGCCTCACTGCGCGTTCACCGGGGCGCACGCAGGAGCAGCGAGCACTGCCAGGTAAGGGACAACCTGCCGGGAAACGCCGCAGTGGGGTGGGACAAGGAGAGCTGGGCCGGAGGCACAGCCAGCAAGTGGGCTCTTCTCACATGGCATGGGTCAAAACGGAGCAGCTGGAGAGGGAGGAACTGTTTCCCCTGTGCTCAGCCATGGAGGTGATCCCCACCTGCTGGCCAGCCCCCTCTGTGCCTCCCCTCCAGCACCCTACAGCTCTGGGGGCTCTGGGTCCAGCAGCCCATGCCCAGAGAGCAGAGGGGCCTCGCACAGCGAGTCCCGGCTTTCCTGTGGCACCTCCAACATCTGCAGGGGCTGGGCAGGGACAAGAGTGGTCCCTGTCCCAGTGCAGGGAGATGGGTCACCTCTCTCATCCTCAAAGACGATTCCCAGCCCTGGGATGCCCGTTCCTCATGTCACCGTGCTTCCCACAGGCTTTGCGACACCACACAGGCTCAGCGGGAGGTATGTGGGAAATAGGGAGGTGAGGAAGAGGAGGTGGCAATGGCAGGGAAGGGAAAACAAGGCTCAGCCATCCATGGATCCGCTGCCCTTGTTCTTGCGACTCAGGGGAAAAGCAGACTTGCTCTGCGGCTGCGTCATCTTACTGGCCAAGTAGATGAACGGCTCGATCAGCGTGTGCCGGTCAGCCACCGACACCTCCCACAGCTTCACCTTCTCGCCCTTGGCCCAGTGCTGGGCTGCGTCGTGGTCCACCCGGCGCTGCTCCTGCAGGTCACTCTTGTTGCCCAAAACCACGATGGTGACCTGTTCAAAAACGGGTGAGTAGAATCCCTGAAGGTACCGAATGCAGAGCTGAACGGCATCACCTGGCCCTGCCTTGAGGAGCAGTGCCAGGCCCAGTCCTGCTGCCAACTCCTCCGTGCTAAGGCTTTTTAAAACTCCACGTTCCCCAGCGCTCCCTTCTGGCAGCTTCCTCTCCTGTTCGGGTCTGTGTGTCTCAAACCAGCCCCAGAGCAGAAGGGCCTGTTGAGCACTTGCACACTCAGAAAGCATCCCAGCGCAACAGCCAGGTACAACCGAGACTATGGAACGGGGCCCCCTGTCACCATCTTGTGACAAGCTAGAGGAGAGTCTTTGGGTGAGAACTTGAAGAAGGGGAGCAGATCCCACCCTGCAGCCCCTCTCCCCTGGGGTACCCACCTCTTTCTTGTCCTTGGACTTGTCAATCTCCTTCTTGAGGAGCTCCACCCGCTTGAAGGACTCCTTGCTGTCCGTGCTATAGACCAGCACGTAGCCGTCCGTGCAGGAGAAGCAGTGCTTGGGAAGCTCCAGGCCGTCCCGCAGGCCCCGCGTGTCGTAGAAGCGCACCTGCTC